TGCTGCCAGCCAGGACAGGCCTCGTCGCCCTGTTCCCTGTTGGCCGCTCCTGTTCCCACCCTGGCTTCTGCAGCTGTTTCCCGGATGCAGCTTCCCTGGCCACCTTCCTTAGTGGGAACCTTATTTATACACTGCTGTGCTCACGCCCCTCCACTCCGGGGTAAGCCAGAGCCTGCACCTGGCCCTCAGGCTCTGTGCTCCCAGGCCCCTGCTACCCGCTCCTCTCGGAATGATCACCTTGCTCTTCCACTCTAGCCACTGCCTCCTTGCTATCTCCACTGAAGCCTACACTGTCTCCCAGGCCAGGCACCTGCCACTCCCTCTATCTGGATTGTCTTCTCAGATGTCAGCTCTACAGATTTCCTTTAGTTCTATTCAGATGTCACTTTGCTAGAGATCTCCCTGAGGCAAACAGCTCTCAACTCCATTGTCTTGCTTTTCTCTTCTCTTAAAGAGCTTATCTGCTTATTGTTTGCCTTGTTTGTCCCTTCCCCCATTCCTGTACCAGAATACAAGGAAGAAATATGAAAAAAATGAAAACCACTAAACTTTGGTTGAAAGTATCAGTGTCTATTTTATTCATTCCTGTATTCAAGGTTCTCAAGACCCAACCTGATGTAGTAAGCCTAGATAAACATGTGTTGGATGGATGGATGTGGATTGACAGATGGATGGATGGATGGATGGATGGGTGGATGGATGTGGATGAATAGATAATGGATGGATGGGTAGATGGATGGATGGATAGATGGATGGGTGTGGATGGATGGATGGATGGATGGGTGGATGGATGTGGATGAATAGATGGAAGGATGGATGAATAGATAATGGATGGATGGATGGGTAAATGGATGGATGGATAGATGGATGCATGTGGATGGATGGATGGATGGATGGATGGATAGATGGATGCATGTGGATGGATGGATGGATGGATGGATGGATGGATGGATGGGTGAATGGGTGGATGGATATGGATGAATAGATGGAAGGATGGGTGAATGGTGGATGTGGATGGATGGATGGATGGATAAATGGATGGATGGATAGATGGATGGATGGATAGATGGATGTGGATGGATGGATGGATACATGTGGATCACTGGGTAAAGATTTATTCTTATTAGAGCCAATGGTTGATTGTGAACGTGCTTTTCCATTCTAATGGACCTCCAAAGTATGCATGTGGTACCACACGGAATAAAGAATATATTATAGCCTCATTTTCACCATGCTAGGCAAAAAATATGTAACTCTACTGAGAAATACACTACTGAAACTCAATGTGCCAGGGGATAACCTAGTGACTTATTTTGACTTTCATGGAAAGCAGAGTCAATCCTATTCAAATTTTTAACAGTTCAACTCCTGCAAGTTAGGAGGAAGTCTGCATTTGAGGAGCCAAATTAGAGGTTCAGAGAAGTACATATTAACCTGCATTCTAACTTGAAAACTGTATCTATGCTGTGGTTGTACCTACTTAAAAATTAACTGTACATATAGACCAGAAATAGAAAAGAATACGAAAATGTTTTAAAGAGTCAATTTTTTAGATTAACAAGATTTTTCATCACTTTTTTCTTGTTTCCCATTATTATGGTTACAATGTTTTTTTGTGTAGTAAAAGAAAATTACCTGCAGTCTGACAAACAAATTTGGCAAATAAAAATGGAATTTGGTAAAGAATGTCTTTATCCCCGTGGGTTTTAATGCAAGAATGCTGCTGGAAAGGCAATGTGATGTACCTAAGAAATGATGTGCATGATCCAGAATCACTCCAGTTCAGTGGGATATGCACTGATGCCAATGGGTTATCTTACTGTGCACTTTTTAAAATTCACTAATGCATGCCAGGTTGTTTCCTGTGAGAAACCTTATCTTCATCCAGTGGGCATGGTAGAAGCCCCGCTTTTACCAAGTGCCCTACTCTCATTCATTTCTTCACCCCGAGTACCAGCTTCCGCAGTTTTGTATCTTTCTTCTCCATGTTATATGTGTCCATAGAACTTCTGCTGTGTTCTTCCTTATGAACATCATCTATTGCTGCCTTCCTCCCTGAAGGATCAGACCCCCAGTATTTCCATGAGATGTCCATTCATCCTGCTCACTTCCAGGTGAAGCAGCCTCTTCTATGATCAGGCAGTACTAACGGTTAGACATTCTGAAGTTTCCATGTTGCACAATTCGCCTCTGTTAAATTTCCTTTTGGTTCTAACTCTGCCGTCTAGAGTGATACAGAGTAAGTTAGCTCCCAGGCCCATGTGATATGTCTTCAAATGAGTGAGGACTTTAAAGTATTTGGTACTTGAAGAGAAACACTTCCTTCAACTTACTTCATGTGATATGTCTTGCAAATATCTTTATGTATCTTCTTTCTAAAACCTTTTTCTAAACATATTTTCTATGTCATGATCTGTAACAGTATCTAGCCACTGTCATATCATGAGTGTGTTGGGGCTAGGGAGGGGTTTACCACTGCAACGTTTGTTCAAATGAATTTTTGTAAGTAAACCAGTCACATTACTGGCGGGTCAAGTAATTGATACAAATCAAAAGTCCTAGGTGGTTTTTTAAATTTGCGTATGGACTTTGACCAATGTACCTATTATATAATAAATGTGTTTAAAACAGAATTTAGAAGTCTAGATTACTATTACGAGAAACAATATTCAGGTCAGCCTTGGTGGCCCATGCCTGTAATCCCAGCACTTTGGGAGGCTGAGGCAGGAGGATTCCTTGAGGCCAGGAGTTTGACCAGCCTAGGCAACATAGTGAGACGCTGTCTCTACAGAAATTAAAATTAGCCAGACTTGGTGGCACACACCAGTTACTTGAGAGATTGAGGCAGAAAGATCATGTGAGCCCAGGAGGTCAAGGCTGCAGTGAGCTACAGTCACGCCACTGCACTCCAGCCTGGGCAACAGAGTGAGACCCTGTCTCTAAAAACAATTTTTAACTAAATATTATTGAAAATGAAATAGAAACAAGACTCAAAAGATATCAATTATTTGGGCTAATGAAGATAACATTACTTTTATCATTCTGCTTCATGAATAAGATTTGGTCTTGGCGTTCTGTTTTTAATGGTTCCCTTGGAATTTCGTCTTAGCAGTGTTTGAGGAGTGTCAGCTGGAGCTGTGAGAAATTGCATGCACTAGGGCGGTTCTATGAATAGTACCACTGAAAGATTCCTGCTAGTCACTGACTTGATGAAAAGGGCTTATTTTCTCTCTGAATTCAGGTGACATGAAAAGCTGCTGAATTAGCAAGATCTAATTACTTATCCTTGGCCCTGGCCAGCGATTTTCTCCCACAGAAAATACTACCTAGTAGGAAATGAGATTGAATCAGTGTAACTTTCTATAGCTGTTTTGTTGCTCATGGGTAGTCTTACTTTTTAAGTTCAAAAAAGCTACCCTCTGATGAATAAATTAAGCTCTAGACAACGAATATGAAGACTTGTAGAAATTCTAAACCACCGTAGAACTCTTTCCCACTAAGCGTATAATGACCCAAGAATTTCTCTTAATTTAATAACCAACATTAAACATTTGGATGATATTGCATAATGTCTATTTCAGTTTGTAGCAATGTGACACATTTTAATAAACTTTTAAACTTTGATGAAAATATATTTATATATTGCATTGTCTACTTTTTGAGGCCATCTTCATTCTACCTCATTTTGGCTTGATTACTGAGTTGCAATTATGAGCATTATAAGAGCATATTCTCTGGACTATACATAGGCAGAAGTGGTCCCTTTGCAGTGTGACCATGTGTTCTTATTTACTACTGTGTAATTAATAATAATCATCAATATGTAACTGTTATATTTATTACTTATTAAGTATTCATATTATCCTTTGTGTCTCTCAAAGAATCACAGTTTGGACTACCAGTTATATGCTTCCTCTGCTTTGCAGGGAACTGAAAAACTCAGTCTCAGCAGGCAATATGCATGATGAATTTCCCAGACTTATGTAGTCTTTAGCACCCTTTAGCAGTGTCTCCAGAGTCCCTCGCCCACCTTTTGCTGCAGTGCAAATACCTGGAGGGTACTGAAACCTAGAATAGGGATAGGTGAGTTTCCCAGTGAAGAGAGACCAGGAAAATCTTGAAACCTTGAATGAGGAGCTACTGAAAAAAGAAAAGCCTGAAGGCAATGTGATAGGCAGAAGTTGAGATGCAAATTGGCACATAGCATATGCTAAATAAATATTTAAATTTGGTATGCTGAAATAGAAGTTGATCACATGGATGTAAACAAAGGGAAAGATGGCTGGGCATGGTGGCTCACACCTATAATCCCAGCACTTTGGGAGGCCAAGGTGGGCAGATCATTTAAGGTCAGGTGTTCGAGACCAGCCTGGCCAACATGGGGAAATCTCATCTCTACTAAAAACATTACAAACATTAGCTGGGCAAGGTGGTGGGTACCTGTAATCCCAGCTACACAGGAGGCTGAGGCAGGAGAATCACTTGAACCCAGGAGGCAGAGGTTGCAGTGAGCTGAGATCACGCCATTGCATTCCAACCTGGGCAACTGAGCAAGACTCCATCTCAAAAAAAAAAAGGGCGGTGTTGAGGGGGAAGATAACAGAGGACTTGGAGCTAAAAGTTTAATCCTAGTTGAGTTGGATTCAATTAGGGTAAGGAGTTTAGCTGTGATGAAGGAAAGCTCCAAGATGACCCTATACTGTAGCGTTTGGTTTATTGGGAGGAGGAGCATTAGGTTTGCACAAAAGCTGTAAACATAGTAATATCAGATTTTCTTTCTTGAGGTAACATTTGGCCATAGTAGGAAAATGACAGCCCAATGCCTTGGGGCACTGAAGGCAGAGGGGAAGAAAAGGAGCTAACAGCAGCTTCAAGGATGGGAAGATGCCTCTTTCACTGTTGTGTGTCTTGGCTCTTGGTTTAAATGAACTGTGTCTATTTGGCTTATTTTATTTCCTTATTTCACTCACTGGGGTTTTCTTTGTTGTTGCTGTTTTTAGGAGCTGGTGGGGAGTAACCCTCCGCAGAGGAATTGGAAAGGGATAGCAATTGCTCTGCTTGTCATTCTGGTCATCTGCTCCCTGATCGTCACATCGGTCATCCTTCTGACACCAGGTACTGTATTCATTCTTGGAAGAGCAAGTCGCTGCCAGAGAGAAAGAGCATCATTTTACCTTGCAATATTTTCTAAGTAACAAGTAACCACCTGTTACATAATTTATCTTTCCCAAGTTCTAATTCTCACTGTGCCATATGATATAATATGGTTTCCATTTTAAAAATCCATTTTATGCATGTTAGATTTGTTTATAAAGTTGTTTACTACATGGAAATGCTTGGCACATATTAAAATTACTTATACAATTACTTATTAATTCCTGATAAAGACAGTGGCATGAATATAATAATTTTACATAATACATGGAATTCCTGGACATTATATCAAGGGTGAATTAAGAAAGTTATTAAAGTAACATATGTTGCGTGTGAACTAAGGAGAATGTGCTAAATAGGTACTACTGAAGATGACATAAAGTATAAACCAGTATCCTAAATCTCTCTGGAAAGAAAAGACACTAAAATCCACAGAAGAAACCTACAACAAAAACAGATATATAGATGCACTATTGAATAAGCCAAACAGAAGTGCTATTGGAGTTGAGAGGAAAAAGAGAAATCTTTCAAGAGAAAGTTCACGGAGAAGGTAATATGTGAAGTGGGCTTAATGGAGGAATGGGAGGAATTTAGTAGCCAGAGAGTGGTAGGATTAGGGAGAGAAGAAACCCTTTGCCCATAAAATAATATAGGGCCAAGCCTGGTGTCTCATGCCTGTAATCCCGGCACTTTAGGAGGCCGAGGTGGGCAGATCACCTGATATGAAGAGTTCAAGACCAGCTTAGTGAAACCCCATCTCTACTAAAAATACAAAAAATTTCCAGGTGTGGTGGCAGGCACCTTTAATCCCAGCTACTCAGGAGACTGAGGCAGGAGAATCACTTGAACCCAGGAGGTGGAGGTTGCAGTGAGCCAGGATCATGCCATTGCACTCCTGCCTGGGTGACAGAGTGAGATTCTGTCTCAAAATTAATAATAATAATAATAATAATATAGGAGTTATAGAAAAACATGGTGGTCATAGATAAAACAGTATGTAACTGTTTTATCCATTCTCATGATCATATTAGATGCCTATATCTGTGCACAAGAAAAGTTTTTTTCTCAGTAAATAAATATTCAAGCATTAGACCCTAAGATGAAATAAGTAGATTTTATCATGTAAAACTATTTTCCACAGGTACGAAAAATGCAGGCAAATTTTAATCCAGGCTTAAACTCTTACCCCAAAACCTAAATGAGAAAAGGGTAATCTGTAACCTGATACCAAATTAAATAAAGATATCACAAGAATAAAAACCCTACAGATCAATGCCCCTCATAAAAACAGATGTAAAAATCTTCAATAAAATAGAAGCAAACTGAATCTCACTATATGTAGAAATATTATACATCACGACCAAAGGGGATTTATTCCAGGAAAAACAAATTGGCTTGTATGGAAATCAATCAATGTATTATACCTACATGAATAGAATAAAGGGCAAAAAGCACATGATCATCCGAACAGACACAGAATAAGCATGTGACAAAATTCAAAAACCCTTTCCTGACAAAAGACCCAACAAGCTAGGAACAGAAAGAACATCTTCAACCTGACAGGTATCTACAAAAAACCTAATAGGTAACATCATACTGAACAGCAGAAGACTGAAATCATTCCCCCTAAGACTAGGAGAACAGTAGACAGGGATATTCATTCTCAACACGACTATTTAACATTATATTGGAGGGTCTAGCCAGGGCTATTAGGTAAGAATTTTAAAAAAGAGGACATCCAGATAGGAAAGAAAAAAGTAAACATGTCTCTATTCATAGAAGACATAATGTTGTATACAGAAAATCTTAAGGAATCCACCAAAAAAAAAAAAAAAAAAAATGAGTTCAGCAGGAAGAAATATTTAAGACCAAGATGCAAAAATCATTTGTATTTCTATCCACTAGCTATGACCAATCCCAAAATAAAGTTAAGAGAATGATTGTACTTAAAATAGTTTCAAACTGAATAAGATACTCAAGAATAAATTTAACAAAAGAAGTATAAGACTTATGTACTAAAAACTGCAAAACAAAATGAAAAGAAATTAAGACTTTGGTAAGTGGAAAGATATCTTATATAAATTGATTGAAAGACTTTATATTGTTAACATGATAATACTCCCTAAATTGGTGTCCAGATTCAACCCAGTCTCTATCAAAATCCTTCTTTCTTTTTTAAAGAAACTACAGGTTGATTCTGTAATTCATATGAAAATGCAAAGGACTCAGAATAGGCAAAATAATCTTGAAAAAGAACAATTCAAAGACGCATTCTTCCTGGTTTTAAAGCTTACTATAAAGCTACAACAATCAAACCAGTATGGTACTAGGAGAGGTATAGACATATAGGTCAATGGAATAGAATTGCGAGTTCAAAAATAAACCCAGACATCCATAGTCAATTACTTTTTGACAAGGGATCCAAGACCATTCAATAAGGAAACAATAGTCTTCCCACCAAACTGTGCTGGTGTAACAGGATATCCACATGCAGAAGAGTGAAGTTGGACCCCTAACTCATGCCATATACAAAGATGAACTCAGTGTGGACCAATGACCTAAATGTAAAAGCCAAAGATATAAAGTTTTTAGAAGAAAATATAGGAATAAATCTTTGTGATTTTGAATTAGTCAGTGGTTTCTTACATGTGACAACAAAAGTGCAAGCAATCAGATAAAAAATAAATTGGAATTCATCAAACTTAAAACATGTGTGTCAAAAACACCATCCAGAAAATGAAAAGACCACCTGTGAATCACAGAGTTAGTAAAGGTCTAGTGTCCAGAATATAAAGAACTCTTACTACTGAAAACAGACCAACAGAAAAACCAAATAATTCAGTTTAAAAACAGGCAAAGGATTTAAAGAGACATTTCTCCAAAGAAAGACAATGGCCAGAAGGCCTATGAAACGATGCTCAGCATCTTGCATCATCAGGGTGAATGAAAATCAAATCACAATAAATACAACTTCATACCCACTAGGATGCTTATAAGAACCAAATACAAACCAAAAGCATAAATAAATAAAAATTTAAAAAACGCTAAGTATTCCCGGATACAGAGAAATGGGAACCTTATTACATGAATAGTAGAAATATATATTGTGTAGCCTCTGTAGAAAATAGTTCAGTAGTTCTGCTAAAATTTAAACACAGCGTTACTGTATCACCTAGTAATTCTACCCCTAGGTATAGACTCAGGAAAACTGGAAACATATGTCCGTATAGAAACTTGTATATCAGACTCACAACACTGAGTCTTACCCATATCTGATTTATGTAAAAAAAAAAAAAAAAAAAAAGATAAGGTTCACAACAGCATTATTCATAATAGCCAAAAAAAGGCGAACACAACCCAAATATCCACCACCTGGAGAATGGATAAATGAATGGGATGTGACCGTACAGTGGAATACTCCTCCGCTGTGAAAAGGAATGAAGAACTGAGCCATGCCATAACATGAATCAACCCTGGAAACTTCACACCAAGTGAAGGAAGCCTCCCATGAAGGCCACATATGTATGATTTCAGAATGGGCCAATCCACAGAGATGGAAAATAGACTTGTGGCTGCTGGAAGCTAGAAGTGGGAGAAAAGGAAATGACTGCTAACAGGTATAAAATTCCTTTGAAGGGGATGAAGAGACTGTTCTGAAATTCAATTATGGTAATAGATGCATGACTTTTAATATTAGGTATTTTTAAACACTGAATTGTATACATTAAAAAAGATAAACTTTATTATATGCGAACTTCATCTTCAAAGTGGTGAGTTTAGTAAAAAGATGAGACAGCTGGCGGGGGGAGGTGTGAAGGGGTAAGGTGGCCACAACAGTGCCAGGTATGCAAAATTGCCTCACAGCCTTTTCTAACATGGGAGCGGCCTCAGTCGCAGTTTCGGGAGAGTGTTGCCGTCTCCTGGTGATTGAGCTTCTTGAATGCACCACAGTTGCCTGGAACGTTCAAACTGAGGGTTCAGTCCAGTGCTTCAGTGAGGGGCTGGGGGAGGAACTGCAAAGACCATCCTCGTTCTGTTTTATGGTGATGCAGATGATGATATCACACGGCTGGGGACTTTAACCACTACATATTTCTAATTAATATAGAAGATGTCAGGTCCTCCTCAGTGTCTGTGGGGCACGTGTTTCTTCCGCCTCTGCTCTTCTTTGAGCAGAACTGTGGTTTGTGTAAGAATATTACTGCTGCAGATTTGATCTCGCGGTTGTCTGGCACTCCTTTTGGGGCGTAGAAAGCGGTGGTGTTGGCCGGGCACGGTGGCTCAAGCCTGTAATCTCAGCACCTTGGGAGGCTGAGGCGGGTGGATCACGAGAGATCGAGACCATCCTGGTCAACATGGTGAAACCCCGTCTCTACTAAAAATACAAAAAATTAGCTGGGCATGGTGGCGTGTTCCTGTAATCCCAGCTACTCAGGAGGCTGAGGCAGGAGAATTGCCTGAGCCCAGGAGGCGGAGGTTGCCGAGATCGCATCATTGCACTCCAACCTGGGTAACAAGAGCGAAACTCCGTCTCAAAAAATAAATAAATAAATAAAGCGGTGGTGTTTAGTGCTTTGCAGTTGCTCCCACCTCCCAAGGTGCATGTGACCATTCATGTCACCCAGATCCGAGGGCTGTCACGAGTGCCACGCAAGAGTGGAATGAAATGGCTGCCCAGAGCTCCTTACACAGAATTATCCACAGCATCAAAGTGGGTTGAGAAGCAGGTCCTGGGACCCTGCCCTCGAAGCTCAACTCCAGGCCTGGCAAGCAGTAGCCCCGCATCTTCTCCAGGCACTGGAGAGATGGCAGGCCTGCTCCCTCCAGCGCAGCAGCTGACCCTACCAGCATCTACAGTTGGTTCTTGGGTAGCCTGTGCAGCCACAGCAGCCTCTCCTTGCAGCAAACCCAGGATGCCGTTTCTGGGAACTCTTCTCCCTGCACGCTGATGACCAGTTGTC